CGTCAGACGGCAGAGGGACGGGGCGGGGCGGGCTCTCTCCGCCCCTTCCCCGGGCCCCGCCCCCCGGAATCTGGAAAGGGCCGAGCACAGCTTGTGACATCCTGCCCTATGCCGGGATGGCCCAGACGGCACCCTCCGATCCTCCCGGCAAATCTCTGGCTGCCCACGGTGCCACACAGCCTGGCTCTGGTCTGGGGCTGGCTTGACCTAAAGTCTTCCGTCCCTAGCCCAGGGCTGGTGCTTGAGGAAGGCGAAGAGGAGACGGAGGGAAGAATAAACGGACCCGGCCCTCTCTGCGCGGGTCTGGAGCTCTGGATGCCAAGGGAGGGGCCCCTGGCTCAGCTCAGGCCCATCTGAGCTCAAGTATCCTCCCAGGCAGTGTGATCATCCCAGGGAGTCTGCTGGGGAGTGTGCAAAACAGCCACTGAGGCACGGTGAAAAGTGGTGTCCGCCAGCTTCACTCTGTAGGTGAGGAAGCCGCGCCCAGACAGCGGGTGACTTATGCTAACACAGCCACAGCCACACTACCGGACTGTCCACGGGGCTGTGGCTCCCTCCTCGCAACCCGTCTGCCTGCACCTCCCACAGCTCCCACCTGCCCACACAGCAAGTTCTTCCATCTTGTCGAGGCTCCCTACCTCCCTAGCATCCTGGGGGCTCCCTGAACACAGGGGCTGCACACTGTGGGTGCCCAGCAAATGCTGCCGGACGACTGCCATGACAGTAAGCAGCCACTCCAGAGCTGAGCGGGAAGGCCTGGTGCAGCCTGGGAATTAGGCTCACGGCTTGGCCCCTCTGCACCAGCTGGGCCCTGGCTAAGTCACCCGTGTCTCTGGGCACCGGCTTCCTCATCTACAAAGTGAAGCTGGCGGACACCACCTGTCTGGAGGAGGTGAGGTTGCTGGGTGTGGGGGACGCACATGGCATGTTTCTCAAAACCAAGGCAGCAGGAGCTGCAGGAGGGGCCAGACAGAGCAGACCAGGGCTCAGAGGTGGGAGGGAGATGAGGCCGGAGCTCTGGGCAGGAGACGGTTGCGAAGAGTAGGGGAGGGGCAGCAGGAGGGGCAGGAGAACTCTGAGCTCAAACCCCTCAGGGCCATGGTCTGCCCCTAAGCCCTGGTGCCAGAGCTCAGCTTCCACTCCATCAGCCCCTAGGGCTTCCTGACTGCCAACCACATGACAGGCACTGGGCCCAGGGACTCCACAGGGCCAAGCTTGCCAGGAATGGACGGCCGAGGGCCCACCAGCAGGAGGAGCACAGGTTTTAGGTGCAGGGGTGGAGGGAGCTCACGCAGAGGAACTGGGAAGGCACTGGGCCATTTTAGCTGAGTGGCCAGGGTGGGCGTCCCTGAGGCACTGTGACAGTGCCAGGACTGAAAGAGCCAGCCTGGGAACAGCAGGGGAGAGTGAGCCATGCAGAGGAGAAGCAAGGCCAAGGCCCGGTAGCAGGGAAGGGCTCAAGGGCGGGGACCAGAGGCTAGTGTGGCTGGAGGGCGAGAGCGGACTGGGACGGGCGGAGTCCTGTGGGTTGCCTGGCCCTGAGAGTGAATGGTCTGCAGCTGTCAGAGGGTTCACAGACGGGCTGCTCTCACAGGGTTTTAAAGCAGGGTCTCGCTGGTTCACAATTCTCCTGCTGGGACCAGAGGTGTGCCCTGCCATGCCTGGCTTTGAATGAGCTGGATCACCTCACAGAGAGGGGCTCCCACATGGCCTCAGCAGTCAGCCAGCGTGTGCGACTGTGGCTAAGCCTCACAGCGTTCGTCCTCATTGCCAGAGGGGACGAGTGTGCCGGGGACAGGGCCCCACTGGGACTCGGCCTGCTGCAGTCCCTTCTCTTCCATCTTTCCATCCTATTGGGGTTTTAGCTGTGCACACACACACACACCTGGTATTTTTTCAAGACACCAGGACTGGGATTGGAGCCAAAGTTGGCCGTATAAAATCTGGCTTCCCTAATCACTAGGCTATGGGACCAGACTCTTATCATTTTAAACTCACTCAGGAGGTGGAATGGACAATTCAAGGGCATGGCAGGAGGGGGCACCTGAGGAGTCCAGGCAGCACACGATGGGGACATGACGCAGGCGCACTGCAAGTGGGAATGACCGTTTTGAAGAGACCAGCGGGGCCTGCCAGCAGACGGATGTAGCGGGTGAGGGTCAAGGATGCGACTGGGGTGTGGGGCTCGAGTAACCCAAGGAATGGTGGTGTCAGGTCTCAAGATAGGGGTCCCTAGGAGGTGCAGTGTGGGGTGTTTGTTCATTACACCTGAGTGGAGATGGGAGTGGGCAGCTGGACCCCAGGGGAGAGGCCTACACTGGCGACAAGTTGGCTTCCCTGCATGAGGCTGGGATTCAAAGCCCTGGGCTCTGATAAGGTCACCCAGAAAACATGGCAGAAGAGGTTCCAGGACACATCCAGGATCTCTAGCCTTTAGTGCTTGTTTCCAGGGGGAAGGGGCTGGCATGGGGGACAGGCCAGGGAGGTGATGGGGAAGAGGGGTGGTGTGGGGCATGGGAGCAGAGAAGACTGTCCCAGAAAGGAGGAAGGATGGGGAGAGAAGCACCCCCTGGATGAGGCCGCATAGGTGCTGGTTTCCCAGCGAGGACGGGAACTCGCTATGCAGGCCCAGGCAACACTTCTAAGACAGTCTCTAAATAGAAGGGGCAGGACCAGCAATTAGCGTAATGGCTATGTTGCTGAACTCCCATGTAGCCGACTGTGGTTTGAGTCCAGGACCTGGTGGCTTAAACTCACGCCAGGCGCATGTGCATGCATGCCCAAGATCCTGAGAGGAGAATGGAGGAGAAGAGATTGCGGCGTGGTCATCCCCCTTGAGGGGTGATTTCTCACTTTCTGTCTCTCTGGCGAGCGCACGCGCCCTATAGCAAAAACCTCTCAAAAAAAAAAAAAAAAAAAAAAAAAAAAAAGGGGCCGGGGGCGAAGAAGGAAAAAAG